CCTCTCTTCCCACAGATTCCACCCAAGAAGAGCCCCTACCACCGACAGGAGTTCCACTCAGACCTGAATTCCTGACAGCAGTTTCCATTTTGTGTTTGTTTTCTAAATCCACAGCAGCTCTGAAATTGACCTCACAGATTCCTTGGCTCACTGACTGACTCTAAGGCCTCAAATATCTACTAGACTAGGCTGCGTGCGTTATGATGGAGGCAAGGACACCAAGGCTCACAGTGTGTGAGTTTTCTTTTCATGTTTGCTGTTCAATTCCTGTCACCAATGTTTGTTGAGGATCTTCTAGGGAATGAAGCATGTGGGATGTGAAGCTGAGTAAGACATGGTTCTTGCTCTTGAGCTGTTCATCTTGTAATGAAAGAATTACACGATTATGTGATTTGCCTACCGGTAGAGGTATGGGAGATAGAGTGTTATGGGAGTATAGGAGAAGGATTGGCTAATGTCTGAGAGGTTGGGGAAGTTAGTGACAGTTACATTTGACCTTAAAGAAGGAATGAGTTCACCAAATAGCAGTCAGGGGTAGGGGACAGAGTGAAGGCGGCCTCCCCAACAGAGGGGACATCTTGTGCAAAGTATGAAGTAGGAAAGATCATGGGGTCTTGTCCTCAAAACCAAAAAAACAAGAACCAAAAACTCTATCAATGCATTATAAATGATGTTTCCCTTGAAATAAAGACTCTCTTAAAACAACTCTATGTCACACTAGATTATTGAATTTGTAAAAATCTGAACCTGAACAGGACCATTGTGTCCCAATCAGAGCATGAGGACAGTCTGGTAGGGACCCTCTAGGGATGCTTATGTTCTAGGTTTCCTTAGCTCTAAAAAACTACCCACATTTCACTTTGTGAGCTCTTGTGCCAGTCGCTGTGCTGTTTTGTCAACCAAAGTGCAGAGGTAGCCAAGGAGCTCAGGGCCATCATGAATTATTCACGTATTTGTGGAAAGCCCATGTGCTAGGCAGTGGGAATATAATGGTGTGTACAAAGATATCCTGGTCTCTCTCCCCACAGAGCTCACATTTAAGAGACAGCTATTAATTCATCGATTGCACTAATGCAAGCTAATGTGGGTGGACTCGGGGGAGTTGTGGAGTTCTAGGCAAAGGGCTCAGAAGCAACAAAGCCCAGTGGTGGGAAGGGGTGTGATGTGTCCAAGAAGGACAGCTTGGAGAGAGTGAAGGGGAAAGGCATGCAAAATAAGGGCTGTGAGAAGAGAAGTGTTAGGGCCACACTGCACAACAGACCTTGTTAAGGATTTGGGTTTTTCAGTGGGAGGCCATTGAAAGATTTTGAATTGGAGCTGATTGATTTTTGTTTATAGGAAATATTAGGCGCTAAACAAGCATTTATGGATGTTTATTACTAATCATGTTATCGAATCAGAGAGAAAAACTCCTGGGAGGGAAAAAACATAAATTGTTACCTAAAAGCAGTAACAAAATAGAAAACAAAGTTTAACTAATTTTACGTTAAACAGTTTTGTTTACTCTTTATGGCAAATCTGGAGTCATGGAACTGAAGGAGTCCCACCTTTTGAGGAGGTGGTTTGCCCACGGCTGAGTAGTAAGTTGGTGGCTGATTCATTTCTGCCCTGCTCTGTGAGCGACACTGTTCCTTTCCTTCCCCCTTTCCTGCCTCCCACTCCTGCTGAAGCTTTGCAGATAAGGAATCAAATTACTCTCTGGCTCTCATCAGAGCTTCTCAAAATGTGAGCACTTTGATTGCAACCCTCTCCTTTGTTCAATTTCTGTCTTTGGGATCTCCAGTGTTGCTGCCATGCCACCCCTGTCTGTCCCCAGGGAGATGCCATCATGTCTCAATGATCTTCACATCCCAGCCTCTCTTTGAATTGTGGACCAGTCAACAATTCAAAGCTGTAATTGGTATATTAGCACTGATAGTAATATCAGCTAAATGATATGTAGGCAATTGGAAGGTGACCAGCTGAACTAGTGTCCTAGGTTCGTTTTGGAGAACAGTGGAAAGTAAAGTTGTGTAGCATTCATGAAAATTGTGGCTTTATGGAATGTTTTTTCCAAAAGATTGGCTCTTTTTTTTTTTTAACTGAAATTTTAGAAAGTGAGAGCTTTCTGAGTAATACATCAATCATGGGGAGGGATCTGTCATTTTCTGGCAAGTTGAATAGGCCATGGGAATTTTTTTTTACCTTACCTACACTCACTGTCTTATGAATTATGAAGTATTATTTTTCCTGAAGCCATCAAGAGTGGCAGGGAGGAGGGGAGCTGATCCATATATTCACTCTTCTTCTGCGCATCGCTAGGGTTTTCTGTCTCTGCCTCTTTATCCCTGTCTCTGCTTGTTTCTCTCTGCTGTTCTTCTTCTTTTCTTGCCTCTTTGGCATGAACCAGCATAGCATTTGGTTACAGGATTTTCATGGGGACGGTGTTCTGGGCAGTGGTTTGTGACAGGGTGGAAGAGTTCAGGAGTGGCTGGTAGGGGGTGATGGAGCAAGAGGCCAAGCAATTGAGGAGGCCAGTGGGAGAGCACTGGGTACACCCAGGTACAGAGGAAAGATGCAGAGTTCAGTGGGGCGGCTAAGGGCGGGGGAGCTGTCAGGAGGTGGAGGAGGTCTGGGCAAGCATGACAGCCTTGGCACGAGGAGCAGTCAGCCTGGCCAGATAGAGCAGGTAGGCAGCCAGCAGGAGCTGGCATGAAGGTAGGAGGGCAGCAGGAGGCAGGATGCTGGGCTCAGCTCTGGTGGCTGAGACCTGAGACTTAGGTGGGATTGAGAGGACCAGGGCAGCATCAGGGGCAAGGGTTAGGAATCCCATCCCAGAGGCAGGGGCACGAGGGCTTCAGGCCAGAGCCCAGGTGGAGAACAAAACAAAAAACTCCAGACAATACATTCCACTTCTAGTATCCTCTTCTGTAGTTCTCTGAGGCTGAACTTAGACCTTACCACCTAGTTAGGCATGTCCTGAGTCTCTTGGGGCCCCATCTATACCAGGGAGATAATGGTTTTGAAATTAGTGAGTTAAGATATGAAATATACATAGGAGGCAGCATGAGAATCACCACAGCAGCCCAGTGCTTGTGGAGCACCGTTGGTGCCAGGCACCCATCCGAGCATTTTATTAGACCAAGGCTTTTAATCTGCGCAGTCTTCTTGATAGAATCCTCATTTTGTAAGTGAGGAAATGGAGGCACAGGAAGGCAGAGTAGCTTGCTGAGTGTTACGCTGCTGGGAAGTGGCACAGCTGGGATATTCAGGCAACCAGCTCCAGGGTCCCTGCTCATCACCACCTTGGTTCATGGTATTCCTGTTACACATCATAGGGAGGACCATTCACACGGGGTGCATGGGGTGCTTGGAGCTGCGCAGTGTGGGCTCTCCTGATTCCATACTACTGGCCTTAAAAAAATTAAAAAGGCCAATTCTTCCACGCTGCCTCCTATGTATCTTTCATATCTTAACTCGCTAATTTCAAAACTATTATCTCCATGGTATAGATGGGGCCCTGAGAGACTCCGGACATGCCAGCCTAGGTGGTAAGGTCTAAGTTCAACCTCAGAGAACTACAGCAGAGGATACTAGAATTGGAATCTATTGCCTGTAGTTTTGTGTTTGTTTTGTTTTTATTCACTTGTCTGCCCTGTTGCTACCACCTGTCTCATGGGCTCCAGGGAGGAAACAGGGGTATGATATTCATCCTTCCAATGCCACACAGATTTCTAGAGGCAAAGGAGTGGAGTGGTATTACTTGCAGAGCGGAAGATGAGAAAAGTCATCTGGGACAATGTAGTCACTTAGTAAAATTTAAACAAAAAGAACAAAATAATTCCCAAGGCTGAACTGGCAAACAAAGACCTTGGGCTTCTGTTTTAGCCCATACAGCCAACAAGAGGGCTAGCCTTGGCTGAGGTTGAGCAATATTCCTTTGTCTCTTCTCTGCGCTCTTGCAGTTCTGCTACAGAACACAGCTACATCAGCCTTGAAAAGTTAAATTCCCGAGAAATTTAAGTGGAAAATTAGAATCAAAATTGCCTTTTGCTTCTTAATCTTCACTGGTTGTCTTGATCATGGCTATCTAAATCTCATAGCTAATCATCTCACTTTTGGCTTTTCTCTCTTCTCTGCCCAAACAAATGGAAAACAGAAATACTTATCCCTTGTACTCTACTGTCAATTTCATGGGTTTGCTCTATGACAAAACCCAGCACTGGGTAAGGAAAAGGGACATATATTTATATCCCTAAGTTTGAAGTTCATGAAAACTAACTGAAAATAATGTTACCTTGTGATACAAAATAGAGCTTTTCTAATTTGTTGAGGGCCATGCCATTTCCTCCACTAAACTGAGCTCAGTTGAGGCATTTGTCAATTGCAAGGACACCTTCCCCATTATGAATCACGTGGCATTTATAAACACAGAATCATAGAGACGATGCTTTTTCATAGGCTGTTTTGACTTTGAACGGTTGATCATAATGAGAGATAACTGGAAAAGAGGTGGGTCAGAAACACATTCATCAGGGCAACCTCAGAATTGGAGGCAGCCTCCTGGAGGCTATGTCGTTTTCGAGGCTATTCAGTAATGAAAGGTAGGTGGGTTTCTGGGAAGCACCAACACAAGACTTGTTCTTGCTGTAACCTCAGGTAACCTCAGGTGGGAGAAGTAGGCCAGAAACAGGGTGGTTTCTCTTTCGTCTTTTTGACCATCATTCAACTGGAGAACTGTTAAAGTCCAAACCAAGAGGGTGCCAGTGTCTTGGTTGCTTTTCACCTCCTGCTGCAGTGAATTATGAAATTTGGCCCTAGAAACTTGAACCTGCTGGAATCCATAGATCCTTTTACTAAAAGCTGGGGACTGGAGGTGATCTGAAACAGGCCGGAAAACTCCCAGGGACCTCTCACTACTTCTCAGCCTGGTCTCAGTTTAGAGAAGCTTGGGACAGTGATAGTCAGTTCTAAGATCTTTCTAGAGTTCTGAGCTCACTTTTCTGGAACTTCTTAGAGTTCGTTTGCAGAGGTTCAGAGCTGAGTGTCTCACTGGGGTTCCTTAGCTCGAGTATTGGGTTGAAACCCTTAGGTAATTCACAGGTGAGGTGCTGATTCTGTGTAGATCCAGACTCTAAGAGAAGACTGCCCAACTCGTGATCTGATTTTTAGTTATCAGCTGTGGGTGAACAAAATGACTTCTGATTGGATAACTTTTTAGAATGGAAAGGGGTCAGAAAAATAGGAGTTTCCCCACCAAAGTGACTTCTCAGTATTTCACCAGATTCCTCTTGGGAACTCTCCTACTGCCCCTCATCTTGAAAACTCTATCAAGGAGGAAGTGGGGAAGGGACACTCCAGTATAGGACATATGGCTTTGAATAAAGTAATTGAACCTTTCTAGGCACTGAAAGGGCCAGCTAAGGTGACTCTTGGTGTTCTCCCACCTCTTAAACAGTTTGTGATGCTGAGTCCAGCATATTTCTGACTTCCTGGGAAGCAGGCAGAGCCAGGCTGCCCCTGCTTCACATCTGTTCTTAGAGGGGGTTGGGTGTAGCGGCAACCACAGGCTGGTATGTGATCCAGTGCCTCCCTGCTAACATCCTGCCCCAGTCACTGACTGACTGCATGCATTAGGGTACTGTAAAGTGAGCCCCTGCTCTTTAAAACTTCCTTTAGGCCCTCAGATTGGCCATAGAGAGCACTCCACAGCAGCCATCCACAGAAGAGCTGAGCTATGTAGTTTCTTCAATTGGGAACAATTTCTCTCATCTTGATGAATTGTGAAAGTGGGCTGCCTGTGTCTTCTCCCGTTAATTTAGATGTCCATTTTAACACAATCGGGGAACACCTGTACTTACAATTGAGGTGGTAAAGTAGGGAAATGGTCTGGAGAATTTAAGAGAAAAAGAGACCCCCTTGTCTCAGTTTTCTGTTGATTCTGGATGAAATATCATCTGGCTGTATTAGAGAGTTAGTTGAAATAAGAGTCTGACCCATGAATTTGAGCACAGCAGCCCTTTGATCTGGTCCTCTTGTTGTATGGGAGAGGGAACCGAGGTTCCACCTGGGTAAGGACTTGCTCCGACATGCATCCTTGTTGACAGGTAGAGCCAGCACTGGGTTTCTCTCTATGGAATCCCATTGACTGCACTCAACCTCTGCTGCTGTCCTCCCTCCATGGGGGCACAGTCTCAGAGGTGACAATCTGTATGAACTCTACATTTTGGGATTCTGAAGGACAGCAGAGTCTCCTGGTCATCATTTGTATTTGGAAGCAGACTGAGTATTGATACCACTCCCAAGGTGTGCAACTCTGATGGAAAGACATGAACAGGTCAGCACAGACCTGGAAGAACTGTGCTCTGCTCAGCAGTTGTAGCCCTTGTGTTGTTTATTATTTTTGATTCAAGTTTGTTCCTTTAAGAGTTACGCTTTTCAGAGCTACTGGCTGGAAGGACAGGCCTCCTTTCCTAGGTCCAAGGCCAGCCAGTTACTCCTGTGCTGAGCTCCCATGAACTGCAGCCAATGCCTTCTGGCTGACAAAGCAGCTTCTCAATGGTAAGTGTTTATGTTGCACTTTAGATTTGCAGAGTTCTTTCCCTAAGTTGTTTCTTACCTCATTTTGGTGGGTGAAGAAACCAGAGCTCATCGGGGTGGTGACTGACTGGTCTAGAGTCATCTGACCAATTAGTGGTGAAGCTGATACAGGGGACTCAGAGCCTCTGAGTTTCTGGGTCATGACTTACCCAGTCAGTTACGCAGCTTCTCTAAAATATGTTCTTTGTCCCTCATCAGCTTCTTTGTCCCCCTGAACTTAGCTGGCTTCTTTTAGAGTGGGCTATAAAGCTTTCCTGTTTCAAAGCTGTAGCTTTTTCTTATTGGTTGACCAGAAAGCTCTAAGTACCTAGAGAAACTCCATGCTAGGCTGCTGCGATGTGGGACCTGTCCTAGGTCAACCTGAGTTGTGGTGTGGCAGCAGCAGGGGGAGGGAGCAGGACGTTTCTATTTGGGTTTTGGAGAAAAGATCAATGCCCTTTCAGGATCATCAAGATTTATGCGTGGGAAGGTGATGAAGAATTTACATGAAAACATTGGCCGTTGCTTAAAGTTGATTAAAAATTCAACTGAAGAGCACTAAAAAATTTGCATCTAAAAGTTGAGAGGTTTTTGGCTCCCTTTTCAAACTTCACCAGTTGGGACACAGAGCTATATTTTTACCAGTGAGGCAGAGAGACGCCAGTGAGAATATTGAAAACTTTGACTATAGAAATTCCCACAAGAAATCTTACCATCTGTTTATTCTAGTCATTTTTTTCTTCACCTTGGGCTTAAAAAATTTTTTTATGACTCATTGCCCTTTTGACTTAAATGCGTCTGTTAATTACAGATGCTGGATGAGATGAGTATCTGTTTACCTGTCTTTACATGATTTCTCTGAAAATAAAATCTTCCCTTTGCTCCCCTCTCCAATTGTGAATTTAATTAAGAAGATGAGCAGTTGTGTTTGGAGTATTCAATAGTCTGCCTTTCCAAACATTCCACACAGCCGTTTGGATATTGATAAGTGTTTATTGTAGAACTAACAATACAGGCGAAACAGGAAGCAGCTCTTTGCTGGGTAGGATGCTCCACTCTCCGAGGGAACGCTCTTCAGCTGACTGAAGCAGGGAAGCCGAGCCAATCAGCGGCCGCTTTCCTAGCTCAGTCACCAGTCTGTGGTTGAGGAAGGGTTTTGCTTTTTGTGCTCTGTACTGGGAAGGCAGATAAAATGCCAGGTCTGGACTGCCTCTGGGGATAACCTCACCCTGTGGGATGTGAATGAATAGCATCTTGCCTGGTGAATCCACAGGAATTGATAAGGCAGGCGCAGTTTTCCCAAACAGGCCTTTTCTCTTTAAGCTCTAGCTGTGGTTTCTGCAGCAATTTTGTTTTTGCCTTGAAAGAGGTGTTCTGGATTATCAGACCTCCATGTATGACAATTTGTACCTGCATGGAATTGAAGACTCGGAGGCTGTAAGTATTTTCATAGATAGCTAATTCCCTCTCTCCTCCTCTTCCTCCTCCCACTATTCCCTCCACCCCCCCTCCCTTATTTCTTAGGCAACGCAGGGAACATGGAGCAGAAAGCTAACATCATTCTGGGGCTTGCTGACTGCTTTGTAAATGTTCTCTATATAGTTTATAGGTAACTGAAATTATTTATTGTCAAGCAGTAAAGAAATGAGGGCGATGGCAAAGCATCTAAGAGTGTAGGCTGCTTGAATTTATACCTTACCGGGTCCACGTCTGATCTCACCAGGGGTAACTGCTCCTTGTAGACTGGTTTAAACTATGCAGAAAGTGCCTGTGTTTTCCAATAGCAGGGTCCGTAGAAAAGCCTTATTCATTATATAATACACATTGTTTGTTGAGCTAGCATGAATGGAAGTTCCTAAGCTCTAGCTGTATTATTATGTACTTTCTGGCCAAACAAGCAGTGCAGATCTACTGCTTCTTTGTTAAGGAAATCAGATGCAAGGGTTGTGGCCATCAGGCACCCCAGTGCAGAGGCAGTCGGCAGTGTTCCTATACTCCACCTTGGAAGAGTGAAGTAGACTCACGTGTGTTTTGGTTTAGAGAACTGGGCTCCTTTTCCCCCCTAGGTCAGGCTCATGCAATCTATTAAAATCAGGATAAAATAATTTTCTGAAATCCATAAAGTCATACCATAGAATGCTAGCTTTTGAATATAGGGTAAAGCTGTTAATGGAATCTTTCTTTTGACTCTTGCTGGTGGTAGTTCCTATTTTTTTCATCAATACACAGAAACCTTGCAAGGTAGATGGTTGGGGGTGGTTAATGGGAAGTGCCGTGGGGAGTCTGAATTTTATGTGAGTGCAGTGCCATACATGTTGCTACATTTGAAACAGGAGTGTGTTATATAAGATTCTCTGGCTAAACCACCAAATAAACAGGTTATAACAACAACAACAAAAAAACCCCTGTGGTATACGTCAATGCAGACGTATATGTCAAATGATGCGCTATCCATGAAAGATAGAAATCCTCAGTTCTGTTAAGGCATTCCATTTTTCCATCCTGTCTGTGTGTTTGCTCTAACTCTAACTCTGTTTCCGCAAAGTCTCTCTGCATGTTGCTCAACGTGCTCGTAAATGATCAGACTGTCAGTGTATTGCAAGGGACTGTAGTTCAAAACATTGGCGGCTGAAATCAAGAAGGTCCACACTTGCAGGTGGGATGGGGAAATGGCAAAGGCAATTACAGGAGTTGAGTAAGCCAGCTTCCCGGGCTGGGCTCTTCAGAAGGCCTGATCATTTCTTCTACCCCTTCTCTTCACACTCAGTTATGAAACCTATGATACCTTGCGAATTCTAAGTTTTCTTTTCAGCCATTGATTTTCAACTTGGGCAGGCAGGATATTGCACTGAAGTGAACTGGCATCGTTTAGAAATGCCTTTAGAAACTGGCTGCTGTGAAGAGTTGGATAGGAACTAAGGTATCCAGCTCCTTGTTCTCCAGAACTGTATAAATTTCAGATGCACTGGTTCAGAGGGGAGCCATTATAAGTATGAAAACATTTTTTTTTTTTTAAATTTTGCCTTTGGGTCCAGTCTCACAGGACAGTTGAGTTTTCCTGTAGGGTGGGAAGTGAAGGTGCAGTGACTTGACTCAGTGGCGGTAGTTGATGGAGGGTAGTGCTAGGTACTGCAGTGCTGTACTCCTGGTGACTCAGTGGTGGCCAGCAGGCTGACATCCTCCGGGCTGTGCACATCCGTGGAGATGAGGAAGGTGGGAAACCTGAGGAGTAGAGATGGGCATCTGGCCAATCCTGAGTGAGAGTATGGGAGGCTTTCAGGTGGGAGGGATTGAAACCGTGTCACATAAATCAGAGGGGAAGACAGAGGTGTTCGGAGGGGTGAACTGACTCTGAATGCTCATTTGAGTTTATTTGTTTTTATAAGGAAGAATAATGTGATGTGTTACCCAAGATGGTGTGAACAGAGCTTCAAGCCAATGGAGAAGACTAGGCCTAAATAGCTGACCTGGTGAAGTGACACATAAAGCCACACCTGGAGTGCCACCTCCTCAGCAGTCTTTCTCAGTGCCAATGCATTTATGGCTGTAAGTGTGGGGGTTGCCTAGACTGAAGCAGAGCTCTTGGAACAGGTCTGGTGGATAGGCGTGGAGAGGCTTTTCTCAGTTGGCCAGCTGCAGTCCGAGAATATACAGGCACTAAGAGCTGAGACCGGCACTTCAGTTGGGGGTGGGGGTTGGGGAACCCATCCGTATATGTCCTGCCGCTCTGTGCTGTTGAAAATGTCTTTGTGGGGTCTGTGGGGGTTAACCTGTGTTAAGTGATTATTTTCAATGTTTTCACACAGTAAGCTTGTAATAAGATCATCTCACCTAGGGACTATTTTATTCTGAATAAGAATAAAGCATTATTATGCACTGTTAGCACCTGACGTCCCCACAGTAGGAGAGGGATTTTGGTACTGTGATGCAAGGCTTTGCCTAAGAGTCTGGTCCAAAAGTAGATATTATGCTCCCAGTGCCCTAGATTTTAGTTTGTAACCTCTGTGTTTCACATACTGTATATATGAAGCGAGAGGAAAAAGAAACATGCCGGAACACACTTGAGTCTGGCGTTTTAGATTCTTGAGTCCTGTGGAACCTTTTTGGGCAAGGCCATTAACTTCTGTTCTGATGTGCAGGAGGGTAGTTAGGAATCTGGATTATAAGGAAGTGCAAAAGATCATTCGGCGCCCCACAGCAGGGCCCTGCTTCTGAATAGGAGATTTCGCACAGAACGTCACATCACTTCTTGTGTTACCTTGACGTGGATGACGGAGTGTGTGCTTCCAGATGAGCCCATACCTAGCCCAGGCTGGTTCCAGTGGATCATGCACATCGACTCTTCCTACACTGGCTGCTGTATAAGAGCTGCCTATTCTAACTTCACTGTCCCTGCTGTGTCTTAATACAAGTCCTGGTGGTCAAGATATTTTTCATGGACAGAGCCCCTCATGTGCACTATACTATGTGTTTTCATCCGATTTACAGTAGATTTCATTAGATCTGCTCTTTAGTGTGTACACATATTTCATAAATGGATTCGTTGTGTATTTGGATGTTTGCGGAATTATTCTGGGAATAGATTTATTTTTTCATTCATCAGGTTTACTACATAAACAGAGGGATGTTCTTATAGGGATCCATGGAAGCAGCAGAGAAAGTTACCAAAAACCTACCACCCAGAAATAGTCGCTGTTAATATATTGCTACATACCCTTTCAGATGATCAATGCACATATATGTAAATAGGTCAGTCTCAACCTGCTACTGTGCATTGCATCCTATTCTGTTTGATGCTGTTCTCACTTGAGAAAATGTTGAGCACACTAGGACTAGAACTGGCCTGCACAGGAGACGCTTTGCAAAATTTAGTGCTCCTACATGGACCTTCTGCAATTGTGAGCAACTTGAAATACAGATTCTTAGGGTATTTTGTAAAGTGGTGCCGGGGTTAGTTGCACATAGAATTAATATTTCATTTCCCTGACACAATTGCTTCCATTTCAAAATGCTGAAACTCTAAAGCATATAGAAGCAGAGACCTGATCTTTTCCTGTGAAAAAGATGATCAGATCATCATTCAGGCAATTTCCAGAGAGGAAAATATAGTCTTTAAGTGTTTTTCAATCATAGAAAGGAATCATAATATATTGATTAATACTGTTAGAAATTTTATGTATGTAAAAGTTACAGCAAAGGTAAATGTTACAAACTTAGTGTATATGTATAACAGTATCTGAGTGTATAAATAAAAGCACATATTTAAATTTACATGTACCTACACATTATTATAAGGATAGTTTTGAGTTATTTATTTAAACTACTTGTTTTCTGTAAGCTGTGGAACTATGTATCTTTGTCTCAATGTCTGCATGCATGTGTACTGTTCACCCTCATACCTTCATTTACATTCGTAGACAGATATGTTCCATGCTTTACTAATTGATGGTTAATGCTAAGTGGGAGATTTCTACTGTGGAGCTTTTGGAGAAGGAAAATTAACTGCTTATGATGTGAACAAAGATACTCAAGAGAGTTGAAAGGCAACACAGCCACAAGAGAATAAAGGATTGCTCCTTTTAAAGATATAGTAAACTTATTTTAAATATGAAGATAGGTCCTTGTGCTTGCTAGGGAGGCAGATAAACTTCAGACAAAAGGATTTGTGTGTTTAGGGGCCTTCAGAAAACACTCTAGGGATTTAAGGATTAGATTTCTTTTGGAAACAAGAACGCCAGAGGTCTCTATGGTTTGGTAGATCAGAGCATCCTTTCTAGGGTCAGAAAGTCTTTCTGGCCTATTTGTAGAGAATGAAGACTGATCTGTAAGAGAATCCAAGGACTGGATACTGGCATCTCTGACCAGAGAAGAAAACCAAATGTTGCTCCTGGTTTGTGTAAGAAATTTGACTGAGAAACTCAACTCGTTTTACTCAGCTGAGCTATGTTGGTATTTGGCTAGGGTGTGTTAAGTAAATGATGAACAGAGCTTTCACTTAAGTCGGTCAATTTTTAGCAATGATGGTTTTCTAAAATGTATATTGAACTTATTTCTAGATATAATTGGCATGGAGCTAAAGAGAGAAATTCCTTGAATCTGATCAGATCCCATGAATTTGCTGTTCCAACTTGTCGATCTTGCTGGTTTCTTGTTAATTTTCCATTTTTTGAGTCACAGAGGCAAGAATTCAGATCAGTCCTTGCCGGGTACTTCCATGTCTCCTTTTCTGCTGTTGTTGTTGTTATTATTATTATTATTATTATTATCATTAGACTGTGATGAGTCAATCCAGGATTTTAGAATATGGACCTATGACTCCCTTTGTATGTACTCAATGAACATTCCATTATTCTGTGGTGTAAGACATTCTATATGAAGGTCAGCAATAATGGTGAAAAACCATTCTTTTAGGCTGAAGGTGGGGAGGCATCCCATTGCCTTAGCTCTTCTCTTTCTATGGGGTTCAGCTTGGACCTTTTTTCTATGTCCACAGGTCTCCCATTCCGGTCACCATGTCCCCTTTACTCTCTCTTACCCAGGTGAACAAGGCCACCTAAGGAGGACAAGAGGATATAACTGGGCTGATTATCATTGTTCATTCTCTTCTCTTCCTTCTCCCACTAGTCCTTTACAGTAATCATCAGGCCATGAAATCAGATATCCATGACGTTAAGTTAAAAATTGTACCAAGGAAGCTCTACAGATACAAGCTCTGTGTTCTCGTCTTCATCGGCTGATTTAGGGGCTTTTCATGTGTTTGTACCAGTCTATGGTGGCTGTGAAAACAGCAACAGCTGTAAAGCCACACTGGAAAAAAGACATTCGTTGGGTGGATGCCTGAGTTCTCACATGAGGCTGGGGCACTGCTGAGTAAAGCTAGTGTTCAGAACAACTTAGTGTGTAAAACCCAAGGGAGTTTACAGTTCATATAAAATGATGACAGCAGATTGGGAGTTGTAGATTTTTATGCATTGGACTTTGAGCTTTTTAAGACTTTGAAGGGCATGAGTCTAAGATAAAACTGTGTGGCTATTTTTACAGTACATATCGGTATGCCAAAAGAAGGTAGCCCAGATAGCTCACGCGACAATCTTTGAGATCTAAATAGACCTCGAAATACTTGCTCTTGCTCTACATTTTATATTCTTTATAACATGACTGCATAGTTTTAGTTATAAATATTTCCCTCTCTTTTTAAATGGTGCCATGTTATCTATACTTCCTGTGTTCTTTTTTTTTTCTCTTGTGTCTGTCATCAGAAATATTGAAAAGTCTTATATTTAAAACAGGATGTTTTGAATTTGCATTTAGCCTTTTCATTCAGAGGAGTTGATCTAAAGGATCCACTCAGACATGGAGATTGGCAACTGTCAATTACTCAGGAGCTTGTCTGTGTAGTTTGTAAAAAAAAAAAAAAAAAAAAAAATCAGTTGTCTTTTTTGCCTTTCTTATGCCTATTATTCCTTAATCTCTCTTTTCTTTTTAGCTTGAGCATCATATAGGGAAAAGATTCTGACCTTCAGTGTTATTTCTATTGCAGCTTTGTTGAAAAGTTTGGTGAGTGATAAGGTTGAAGTTGAAATTGTTTTTAGATCTTTTTTAATCTCCATAAAACTTAAATTTTGTCTTCTATTGGGCATATCTGTCATCCAGGAGAATTTCAGTTTACTTTTTGTGCTTTGTATTATGAAAAAAATAGTGTAGTATAATAGTGTCATGATCAAAAGTGGAGAAAGACAGGCACGGCGGCTCACGCCTGTAATCTCAGCACTTTAGGAGGCACAGGTGGGTGGATCACTTGAGCTCAGGAGTTTGAGACCAGTCTGGGCAACATGGCGAAACCCTGTATTTACAAACAAAACAAAACAAAACAAAACAAAAAAACTAGCAGGGCATGGTGGCGTGTGCCCGTAGTCCCAGCTACTTAGGAGGCTGAGGCAGGAGGATCCCTTGAGCCCAGGAGGTTGAGGCTTCAGTGAGGTGTGATCATGCCACTGCATTTCAGGCTCAGTGACAGAAGGAGACCCTGTCTCAAAAAAAAAAAAAAAAAAAAAAAAAAAAAAGTGGATACAGTGCCATATTGCCAGGGATTGAAGATTGAATTCTGACTTCTCCTTTCCTACCTTGTGGCCGTGGGCATATTTCTTTTTTTTGTTGTTTTTCCCAAGATGGAGTCTTGCTCTGTTGCCCAGACTGGAGTGCAATGGTGTGATCTCGGCCCACTGCAACCTCTGCCTCCTGGGTTCAAGCATTTCTCCTGCCTCAGCCTCTCGAGTAGCTGGAATTACAGGTGCCTGCCACCACACCTGGCTATTTTTTGTATTTTTAGCAGAGACAGGGTTTCACCATGTTGGCCAGGCTGGTCTTGAACTCCTGACCTCGTGATCCACCTACCTTGGCCTCCCAAAGTGCTGGGATTACAGGCGTGAACCACCGCGCCTGGCCTGAGTATATTTCTTAAACTTTCCATGTCTTGGTTTCCTCATCCCTGTCAATAATAATAGAAGTTACTTTTTGGGTGGTTTCGAAGATTAAGTTAGTTAATG